GTTCTTGATGATGATGATGAGCAGTGGGAACTGGCATTGTTGCTGGTGCGTGTTCGTCGATGGCAAGTGTTGCTGTTGTGGAAGTTTGTGCCTCACCAAAAGCAATGCGTGACACGATCGCCGGACGACGTGAAGGCATGTAACGTCCCGGTCGGACCGTTGTTGTTGTTGTTGAATTTGATGATGTACTGGTTGTGCTAGTGGTTGTGGTGGAAGTAGTTACGATAGGCACGCCGGCACTTGGAGACCAATACGTTTTTGCTGGCTCGCCGTAGACTTTGGATGGCTGTGAGTATACTTTCGCCGGCTCGGAATAAAACTTTGATGGTTGTCCATACACCTTGGCAGGTTCCGAATAAAATTTCTCGGGCTCACCGTAAACTTTAGCCGGCTCGGAGTAAACCTTGGCTGGCTCTGAGTAAAACTTTGACGGTTCGCTGTACATTTTCGATGGCACGGAATAGAACTTAGCCGGTTCCGAGGTGTGCGCCAACTCCGCGCGCGTTATAGGCGTTAAGCTCTCGCTGACATTGCGTTGTGCTTCGGCCAAAATGCCCGAGTGCCGCCATGTATGCAAATCATCGACATTTTGCGATAACGAGCTGTACGATATCGATCGAGATTGCGGGCCATGACCTTCCTTGGTGTTGTGATAGATCACCGTTTGGAAGGGCAGCAATTTTTCCTCTACATCGGCGTCGGCATCGATATCACCGTTGGCAGCCGGTGCGGACGTGTCCAGCATAACTGTGTCACTTATGCCAACGCCATCGCTAATGTGACTACTGGCATGCGAATGCGCAAATGTGGTTGCACTCTTGTGATTTATGTGCGAGGACGTGCTGTTACGATTGCTGCTGCCACTGCCGCGGTGATACGTAGTTGACGCGCTAACAGTGGCGGTTCGCGTCGAGGCGGACTGAACCAGCGGCGCTGCCAACACGTTTTGTATGTTCGTTGAAGCGCTATTCTCCGAGTCGACCACATCTGGCAGACTGGCAGCCATTTTGACGGCGCGTCCACTGACGGCATGTGGCGTGTGCAGTGAACGCGGACTGCTGGCGCGTGCCGCATGCGGGGAGCCACGTAACTTTTGCGGAGACATTGTCAGTGGCTCGGCTTCCTCTATGGAGAATTCACTTTTGTGTGAGCGATTAACAAAATCGTCCATTGTTGAGGTGGCGGACGCCGTCATCGGCGCTGTTGGTGGTGTTGTAGTTAGTGTCAACTTCATGGCTGACACGCTACCATCGCTTTGAGTGTTGTCAGCGCGCTCATGTAGATCATGTTGGTACTGCTGTAGCACTGTATCAGGCCGGTGCAATGACGCACGCGCGTTGGAAAATTTATTGGCCTGCTTTGACATAACTGTGTCAGGTGTGTTGAAATTATTATGGTCACGACTGAAACCGCCACGTTTGCTAGAAGATGACACACTCACCGCCACCACCTTGACTTCATCGGTAGGATTAGACCTGTGCTGCATTTGCATTTGTTGCGTTGCGGTTTCCTTTGCCGTCTGCTTGCCTTGCGTTTTTAAATTTTCCTTTTGCAGATCAATGTCACGCGCCACTGCATCTACAACGGCGTCATTGTCATCGTACTCTTCTAGGAAGACAATTTTGCTGCCTGACGTCACCAGCTTCACCACCTGTTTGCTCTCGTCCGCCATCGCCTTTATCGGCGTCGTTGTCGCAGTCGCTTCGTTCTGCACATTGCGACTCTTGTAATTAAGGCTACGCGCAGCCGCACCTCTGCTGTCTAAATCACTTACATGCGTGCTTGGATCAGCTGTCGACTCGTAGTGATCGGCGCGCGTCACCCGCCTTTCCCTAACAGTAGCTCGGCTTGAACTGTCGCTGCTGCCAGCTCGCAGAACTCCCATTCCTCGCACCGCACGTTCATTTTCGTCGTACTCACCGCTATGCAGTTTGCGCTGCGACTCGTCGCGTCCATACAACAACTTGAGGAACTCATTCCCGGCAATGAGATCGGTTGTTTGTGTTATTGCTGCGCTGGCGGGCCGTGTGTCAATTGTCGGTGTTCGCGCCAACATCTGTGAAATTAAGTGAGAAATCAAAAATTAATTGGCGTCACTTTAGTGTTATGGTGTGTCATTTATTTTTTTTCAAGTTTTTCAATGATCGTATTTCAAAAGCGCTTAATGGTTATGATTGGGGAAAGGGGCAATTGATATGGGTTATAGTCATTTCATATAGTGCTGAGCTTGTGAGAAAGTCATTTTGGCTCTTTGTTTATTGTTATTACTTAGCCATAACACTTGTTGCAACGGCACCGAACATACAATTTTGCTCTACCTACTGGAATTGTACTTGCTTGCTCCCATGTGAATAACTTGCACACATATCGATATAAATATGGATGTATGTATGAGAGGGGATTCCATTTGAATAAAATTAACCGAAATTAATTAAGGCCAATGAGAAGCGTTCACGCGTCATTTATAAAGCTAAAATTAGTACAAGTTTACAGTCCAGGCTAATTTAAAGATTTTTAAGAAGCCGCAACTCTCTATATAAGTATTTACTTTTAAATTTTCGGAATCTAGGTGAAAAACATTTAGCTATTAAATTGATAATCACAAAATGTATCAAAGACTGGCGATATTTTCAATGGCATTTGCTGGGACCTGCATGGATGATGTCGCTAAATTAAACTGCGTGCAAAAGGAGCAAAAATTTGTGAGGTTCTTATACTAAAAACAAACCCCTACACAATTGTAATTTTTTTGTGAACTGAGTACAAAGGCAACAAATAAGCGTAACAACATCGCCCTAATTAGGGCACGCTTATATTGGAGCTACAGTGAAAGATAGACTAAGATAAGATAGCTTGGTATTTAGGTAGTTAGGTTGCTCCGTTTCCATGGTCGCAAGAACCAAAAAACATACAGATTTGAAACAAAATAGCCATACAAAAATTCTTTCAAGCCGCAGTGAAGCACGGTTGGTATTTTCTAGTTTATAAATGAAATATAAAATAATCGTGGTGGTGTGCTAATTTGTGGTATATCCGATATGGAAGACCTTATAGTCTTAGAACATATTCCATCCAAGAGAACCGAAGTTCTTCAACCTCTAAGATAAGGCTTAATCTACTTAAGAAAACCGGAATGAAAATTGAAATGAATGAATGGGCAAACAATTTATTGTTTGGCATAAAATCTAAACACGAAAAATTCAGTCCGAAACTCGGTTTAGATATGTATTATAGAGTTCTGAGTTGACCTATCAAATTTGGTTCGTTTCAAGGCAATATATATCCGCCATATACCCGATCTGGCCGACTTGATCTTCAAAATCGTCTTTGACGTATTCAAATCGCAGTTGAAGCAGTGCCAACATCGAAATAATCTTGTTTTTAAAAGGAAACATTCCTTTGTTGTAAATGAAGTACTAAAGTGGAAAACGCGTCTTTAAATTTAGTTCAAAGTAATTTATTTGTATACAAGTTTTGGAAGACAAATATCAACTATGTAATGAAAGTAACATATTTATTTATAGCTTAATGGCCTTATTCATAAAAAATAAAGTAGGTTTAAAGA